TTGAATATCATGAAATTCGATAGAACTGGGACTAGTTGGTGTAGTCGGTTTGACAAATCACCCACCTTTGGAAAATGTGATAATTTATCTATTTAGTAAATTCATTTTTCTGTTTAGAAATAACTGATTTGGGCTATCGGTGGAGGATAGTCTTGTCACGCCCCAAACGTGCCCCTAAAATTTCGGGCATGACCTACCCAGAAACAGACACTTATCCTGCTATATAAAAATATCTGGGGCCTGAACGGAAGCGTTAATATAATAGAATAACATGCAGACACATCCATTGAGCTACTACAAATATGCCAGGACCATAACTCGGAATTAAACATCTAGTGAACATGCATCTGAGATTAAGTTATATACACATTTACAAGTCCAGCCTAGAGATTAGGCATATAACAAACATTAGATACAAATCGACTTCAGCCCACAAAACATTAGTACAAAATGACAAAGTCTAGCAAAACTGCACTAGCATGCAAAGGGCTTCTCCAAGTGCCTGGTTGTCCTTAGGTTGGCAAAAGAGGGATGATAATGATGCTAGGACTGACCTCCAAGTTGATTACCTACAGAATCAGACAAAATTACAGGGTGAGACAAGCTCAGTGAATAATAGTACTTAAGCAGTTTAATAACCAACTTTAACCACAATGCATAACAGTGCATTCACAAAAACGAAATCCAAGTAGTGAGTCTGATATTGTTTTACTTTCAGAACGGCCTTGGACCTAGTATTACAATTATAACATAATGGCCTACCGACCCAGAAATACAGAACAGCCTTTCAGCCCAGAAGTATACTGAACAGCATTTCGGCCTAGAAATATACAGAATAGCCTTTCTGTAATACCCCTGTTCCGTAATATGTTAATTGGTCCTTAACATGATGTGATTATGTATTTTGATATGATTTGTGTTCCACTATGTGAAAATATGTGATTTGAAGTTCCATCTGTTCACCGTAGGAATATCTGTTTGAATAATCAGCTTTGGAAATTTAATTGAGGGCCTTATCGGCCACAGAACCCGAAATCGATTACGCCATTGTGGTTGGCATAATTTTTAGAGCCTACGGTGAAATTTAATTGAAAATTGATTCTGGTCAATTTAAACTGATTGAAATGATAAATTAAGTACCCCATTATTTTATATTATTATATTGACTTAGTGGGACTTAATATATTTGAGCACTACACCTTATTTCTCTCCCTTGGCTTATTTTGGCTGATTCTTGAACTCAATTGA